ACAGGACTTTTATGTTCACCTCAACCCATTCTACATTTCTACTTAATGTGAGAAGGAGAGTCCCACACAGCAATGTAATATTGCATCAATATTGTAGTAATCTTACAATATTGCTATAATATTACAAGCAATATATCAATAATATTGCAGAAATATTTTTGCAATGTGAAATGTCCGTGGATCAAATATTTCCACAATATTTCATTAATATTACAGTAATATTACAATAATCTATCTGTAATATCGCAGTGATTTTATATAATATGGTGACATATTCAGGTAGCAGACAACCGTGATAATGACGTGAAATTTAATTTAAAATCAACATAAGCTGACTAGTTGCAATTGTTTCTGCAAGATATATTTTTCAATATTTCTTTTAACCAGTGTTATACATCCTTGTTACGTCATTTTATGTAAAAAAATGTCGTTTAAAATATCGTCATTATTTGGTTAATTTGAAGAATAAATGACGTAAAAGATGACATAAATTTCATCTTTTATGTCATCTTTTACGTCATTTATCCTTCAAATTAACCAAATAATGACGACATTTTAAACGACATTTTTTTACATAAAATGACGTAACAAGGATGTATAACACTGGTTAAAAGAAATATTGAAAAATATATCTTGCAGAAACAATTGCAACTAGTCAGCTTATGTTGATTTTAAATTAAATTTAGCTCTTTTATCTGATTTCTCACTTTTTTTTCACCTGAAAATTTACTCAGTACTGGTTGGACACGAACTCGAGACCTCAGACACCTCCAGGTGTCCTAGTCTACCACCTTACTTACTGCGCTATTTCTTCAACTAATGTTAAGTATTTTTTATTACCCCCATATGCGCGCGCGCGCAGCCGAAATATTAATTATAATTTTCTTATGATATTATTTAGTATAATCACAAAAATATACTATAGTTCAAATATTTTATATAATAAAAGAGAAGTCAGACATATATGCATTAAATATTTATGTAAAATATGTTTATATAAATATGTGCACACACACACACACACACACACACACACACACACACACACGCGCGCGCACACACACACACACACACACACACACCGTGTGTCTTTAAAACGTTAAAAATAATTGGATCCCATACAGCGTGTAATATTGCAGAAATATTATAGTACTATTACAATATTCCCACGTAGTACAAAGCACTTGCAAAGCGCTCATATAGCTTTTATAGGAGTCAGATACCTGCAAAAGCGCTTTCTGAGCACTTTGCTGCTGTGCTACTTGGGTTATATTAATACAGCGTCTGCAAAGCGCTCAGAAAGTGCTTTTGCAAATGTCTTACTGCTATAAAAGCGCTATATGAGCGCTTTGCAAGTACTTTGCACTACGTAGAAATATTGTAATATTACTATATTTCTGCAATATTAGACGCTGTGTGGGATCCCATTATTTTTAACGTTTTAAAAATGTTTCTTCAAATGTTTTTTAAATTGTAATTTTTTGTAAGGTATAACACCTAGGTAAACATATTTTACATAAATATTTTATGCAATATTAATCTAATAATATTAATTTTGCAGTAGGATTGAAATATTAAAGATATATTATTGAGATATTACATTACGATATATAGCAGTAACATTGCAGTAGTATTAGTACAATATTATCACAATATATCGATATACACAATATATCGTTATGTAATATTTCTGTAATATTATATTGGAATGCGATATATGACACAGATATATTACTACAATATTTCACAAATATTACCATTATGTATTGCAGTATAATATTAAGGCCAGTCTACAATAAATATTTCACAAATATTACCATTATGTATTGCAGTATAATATTAAGGCCGGTCTACAATAAATCGCAAACAGCATCGCAGGTTGCAAGTCTCAAGAAATGTGATTGACCAATGCATATTGATTATATGACAGTTGCATATTGTACAATATACAATAAGTCGCAAAAGCCGGTTTACAGCGTTGTGGGTTGCGAAAAATTGACTAATGACAATTACTTACTTCACATGCGATTGTGATTGGTCTATTTCTTGAGACTTGTAACCCGCGATGCTGTTTGCGACTTATTGTAGACCGGCTTTAATAATATATTGCAATATATAATATGGTAATAATATTTCTGAAATATTGTAATAATATATCTCACAAGGGCACCGGCACGTACCTAATGTCACGGATTTTGATGAAATTTTTTTGGGTTATTCTACAACACTAATGTACATTCTGTGTAAAAGGATTGTTGTCAATATTTCTTCGTTTCGAAGAAAAAAAAAATTTACGAGCACTTATAGGCTAAGCGTGTGACGAAAATCTCAAGTGTGCTTTAGTAGCCGCGATGGTTAAGACGCGATGTGTCATTCTTTTGGCGAGTTCAATCGCCCGGCCATCCAATTTTTTTTCGTTTTTTTTTTTTTTCATTCAAATTGGACAAGGACACAATGAACACAAAAGTACGAAAAAGGAATATATTAAACATAATTATAAATGACAAAACATTAAAAAATATGTTGTATGAAATTATGTTAATATTAAAATTATCTTAATCTTATGTTTTACTTACATTTGACGCTGTTTTTTTCATTCTATATTTCATATAGTGTTTGTTTTGCTTTATAAATTTTTAACGTAAATTCTAAAAGAAAGGAACAGAATGATCCAAGATAGTTTTAAATCCTGCAACGGTTGTTTTTATTTGAGCAAACCTAAATATCGGAACGGACACGTGAAATATTCTAGTTTGCACTCGTGTAAGAAATCTCTAATTATTTGAATGTTAACGAATTGTTTAGTAATATATTTAAAGTACATCTAGAAATGGTCAGTCGTAGATTTATTATAAGTTAAGTACCGATTGTTACATTATTTAAATAAGATAGTTTAGACGCGGGATGCGAGAAATCAGACGCGTTATCTATTTTCGTATTAAATTTACAGAATATGAAGAATGGTAAACGTGTTGTAACTCGCATGAGGTAATTTTCTTGCGCCAAACTGTATATTACTCTCTTTTTTAACCAGTTTTCAAGGTAAGATGTTCAGGCTAAGTTCACGTTAACGCGTGACTTCTCAAAAGTTGTTTACTGGAGATTATCGTTAAATTTAAAGCAATTACACTCGTAGCGAATAGACGCAGTTTTGTGACAAAAGTGAGTAATCGCAAGCGACTATGGATCCGCTAACTACCTTGGATCATTCCATTCCTTTCCTTTGAAATTTACATTAGAAATTTATAAAGTAAAACAAATAAAATTATATAAAATTATATATGAAATTTCAGAGGATGGAAAAACAGCGTCAAATATAAGTGAAACATAATTTTAATTTTAACAATTTCGTACAACATATTTTTTAATGTTTTGTCATAATCATGTTTAATACATTCTTTTTTCATACTTTTATGTTCATTGTGTCCTTGTCCTACAATTTGAATGAAAAAAAAAACAATAAAACGAAAAAAAAAAATTGGATGGCCCAGGGATTGAACACAAGCCAAAAATATGATACACCGTGGCCACTGAAGCACTTGAGATTTCCGTCACACACTTGGCCTATAAGGCGTTCGTAAAATTTTTTTTCTCCGAAACGAAGAGATATTGACAAAAATCCTTTTGCACAGAACGTACATTAGTGTTGTAGAATAACCCAAAAAAAAATTCATCATAATCCGTAACATCAGGTACGTGCGGTCCCTTTGTCAATCATATATCGCACTTCAATATAATACAATATTACAGAAATATTATATAATGATATATCGTGTTGTAGTAATATTGTAGTAATACTATTGTAGTAATAATATTGTAGTAATATTACAATATTACACTGTTTATTATTGTTATTATATCATATTTATTTATGTTATATGTTATTATTGTTATTATATTATTATTATATTATTGTAGTAATACTGCAATATTACACTGTTATATATCGCAATGTAATATCTCAATAATATATCCTTAATATTTCATTCCTACTGCAATATTAATACAATATTGTAATATTACTGTAATATTTCTGCAATATTGCATGCTGTATGTACGTGTGCGTGTGTATATATATAATTTTTCCTTAAACTGACGTTGTTATACTGATGATTTCCGGTTTCTACAAAGAAGAAATATATAAAAAAATATAAGGTAATTATTTAGAAGACGGTCCTCCAATTTTGATAAAAGTAGGCTCAATCGACGCGTTTTTGCATGTCAAACAACTTTTTTCTCTGATAAAATCATCGCTCTCTACTGCGAAGTGAGATATTAATTGTTAAAGATGCTAAGTATGATAGGTTAAGAAACCCGTCATTACAACATAAAGACTGTTGGTTAGAGTTGCACTTACTGTATTAGTATAACGTAGTGTACAACAACTTCATGAAAATACTTAAATTAAGAATATTTTTAATATATTTGACATTTGTAACACGAGAAAGATATCAAACGACGAGCGGGGGGCGCACTCCCCTAAAAACTAACCTAACCCAACCTATCGTCACATTGGTCATCGGTCATTGTTTATTAAAAAGTGTCCAACCTTTTTTCTCAACTATTTAATAAATAATGACTGCGGCCATCACTCCGCCGCGGTTCGGAGGGTCTGGAGGGCGAAGTCCCCCAGTCACACAACTAGAGATAGACAGTATGACAGATTTTCTAACCTAGCACGCCCTCAACTTTATCTATTAATATCTCGCTTCGTAGTAGAGAGCGACGATTTTGTAAGAGGAAAAAGTTGTTTGGCAAGCAAAACGCGTCGATTGAGCCTACTTTCATCGAAATCGGAGGTGAGGACAGTCTTCTAAATAATTATCAAATATAAATATAAAACTATCCCCGAACAGTTACGAAATCCACTTATAAAGGTTATATCCTCCTTTCACATGCATCGATATATGATTTTTCAAGTTAATAAGAATTTTTATATTTCTTTCCGAAATAATATGAAAAGAATACGACGGTAATCTTTAAATATGACAAATACTCACCCAAAATGTAAATTTGCACCATGAGGATTTATTCTCATCGTAATCATAATCCAAAGCATTTTTATACATATGTATTACTTTATTTCTTCTGTTAGTATTACGTATGTCATTTTTTTTGTAATTTAACTTTTCTGTCATGTCATCGTCATCGTCTTCATCATATTCATTATTTTCTAAAGCTTCATTTGCATTATTATCGCCTGCATCTTCGTCCTTATCATTTACAACACCTTCTATTTCCTCTTCTTCGGGATCCTCGTATTCCTGGTTCTCTCGATGACGCGATATTGATCTACTCATTGTAGCATCAGCGTCTTCCGCAGCTCTCTCCTCATCGGAAGATTCATGCATCTCTCCCAAATCTCTTCGCGTTCCTTCTCTTTTTTTTCTTGCCATCTCTTCTTCTTCATCAGGGTCAGCTTGATCTAACGCCACATTCTCATCGTTTGCCCGTCTTCTATCATTTTCTTCGAAGTGTAATAAAGTGCCAGTTACTTTGGCTACTTTTCTAATTTCTTTAAATACATTCTTGAAGAAAGTCTCTTCGGTTTGCTTAATCACGTGCTGTGGGTGAACAGAAAACTCTCCTTTATAATACTTGTGAGGGAGAAACTCTATCTTTATAGTATGCGCTAATCTTCTGTACGGGACCTCTTCCATTTTCCTGTTTATCGCAATCGTCTTCAATACGTCGCTCAAAACGCATTTTGTTAATTTTACGCGCAACTTCTTGGATTGCTTCGTAAGATTTTGTAGATCTTTTTTGAAAGGTATCTCCATACTAGGAGTTTTGATATTCTTGGATGCCATCATCAGAATCTCCCGTAATCGAGGAATACCTAAAGTTACATTCATGTCACCACGTCCTGCAAAGTGGAATGTATTCAGAGTCATCTGAGTGGACGGCTCACCAATAGATTGCGCCGCTAACAAACCAACTGGTTCACCGGGTGGACAGATAGATCGCATAACTTTCACGGATAACAGGTTTCTCAAGCTTTTTTTGGTAATATTCGACGAATGAGATAAATATTCTTCCAGTAAATTTTCCAATCGTTCTGATAATATACCAAATTCAACATCTTGTCTATACTTAGACATTACTGGATCGGGACATCTGACGCATTGCGTGCGAAATATTTTCTTCACCTCATTATCCACTTTCAGCCATTTTTTTATAAGCGATAGCGTAGTCTTACTTCTTCCACAATTCTTCTCAACACTGTTTCTCTTTACATTGTTGTTCTGACTAATATTCTCCATAGAAAATTTAGTAAATTCACTAATTCTTCTTTTTTGCAATGGAGGACCGTTTTTAACCTCCCATTTTTTAATTTTTTTTATCAACTTCGCGATCTTCTCATTATTATTCGAACCCGTTTTAAGATTCTCTAGTATTTCCGTATCCACGATAGCATCCTTATTGTCGACCAAGAACGGCATTTGCTCCTTTTTCAAGAAACGTGAACCAGGTATATCGAGGCCGTCTTCGCCGTAGTAAAACTGAATCAGACTGCCGTCAAAGTCCCTAACCGTTGAGTCATAATTAACAATTAGACCCTCCAAGTGTTTTATGAGGCATCTTTGCAAATAACCGGATCTGCTTGTTTTTACGGCAGTATCGATAAGACCCTCGCGACCTGCCATACAATGAAAGAAGAATTCCTGGGATTTGATACCGGTCATGAATCTGCCGACAATGAAACCACCAGCTCTGGGTGTTGAATCGTACGTCTGGAAACTCGGTAAACTCTTTCCGCTAATCATAAATGGTGGCCTTTTACCTTCCAATTCTATTTGCCCTAACAAACACGATATCTGCATGGTATTCACCGTCGAACCTTTTGCACCGGATTGCACCATAAGCTGTAAATTATTATTTGGGAATTTTTTCAAGAGTCCTGCTGGTAGACATATTTTATTAATGTCATTGGTGTAGATGTCCAATACGTTTTTGTATTTACGATCAACTTGCGCGCGAAACTTCAAGTTATTCCAATAAAACTTTTCTATTTTATCTCTGATTTCGCCCATAGGTATATCGTCAGATATCTCTACGACAGATTTCTGTATATCATCCCCAATCATTTTATTGTTAAAGACTATCTCTTTGCGTTTTTCGTCGGCCTCGCGGGTTATCAGAATGTCCTCGATGCCAAGTGTGAATCCATCCCATTGTAGAAATGCTTGGAAGAGTTTTCCAAAAGCGCTTAGCATTTTACTCGCATACATACTACCATATAACTCGTAAATACAATGAATAAGACCGTACGGAGTTGCGCCGTAATGTGTTTTATCTAGTACGCCGCACAACAGTTCGCCATGTCGAATTATAACTTCCACTTCCGACATAGTTTTCGGATCTTCAAATTCATTCCCGTACTTCCAACGTCGTGGTTCGTTCACCTGCCACTCTTTCAAACTGATCTTTGTCTTGGAAGTTAAATTAATTCGCACCTTACCAGCGGGAATAATATTGATAATGACAGTCGACAGAATTTGTTTACCCGACCATTGCGATTTCGGTTTAATAATAGCAGGCGGCAAAAGAATGATATTGTCTCGTTTCATCGACAACGCTGTGTAAATCAAATATGTATAATCTGCTTTCGAAAAAAATCTACCTTTGGTCGTTAATCGGACTCCGGATACTACATGATCCTGTATCAAACCGCTTAATGGCGTTCCATCTTTTGGCACAAGATATTGATTCGACACACTAGCTATATTATAGCCTTCGCTTCTAGCCAATTCATTCTGCGGGAAATGAGCGTTCATCTCGTCACCATCAAAGTCCGCATTATATGCTTTACAATTAGCATAATGAAGACGCAAGGTTTTCTCTCCTTTGAGAATACGCGCTTTGTGACTCATTATACTGGGCTTATGTAGTGTCGGTTGCCTGTTCAACAGTAACACATCACCATTTTGTAAGTGGCGATGTATTACTTTGATGCCGCTGAAGAATTTATTAGTTCTACTATTGGCCGTTAAAAGACGTTTTGCAATAGCTTCTCTCTTCGTAGAATCATCACTGCTAATGGCCTGAATCAGTCCATCTTCGTTTTCTACCATAACTGCTCCAGGGTGAATGTCAGGTCCGTTCAAGACTAATTTTCGCAATTCGACGACATTCCACGGTGTCACTGGCACTGGATACGTTAGCTTGAGGGCAAAAGCTTCAGGAACGCCGATTTCATCAATATTCAAATTAGGATCTGGAGTGATGACTGAACGTGCGGCAAAATTCACCCTCTTTCCCATCATATGCATCCTTATGATACCTTCTTTCTTCTCGATAATTTGCTTCAAGCCATGACAGTGAATGGATTCCGAAGTCTTATTCATATCACGATCCATCAGATGATTCACGTTGACCTGTAAACTTTGCCAAGCGTTATGCAATTTCTCGACCGCTGTAAGCCCTCTTATCTGTTCGAAGACTAATCGACCCTCTTGAGGTAGTTGATCAGTATTGCCATCTTGAATCGTTTGTATAATATTCCTTAAGATGAGACAATCTTGCATGATGTTCTTATACACCTGGGTTTGTGGATGTTCAATTATTTGACCATGAAGCATGTTTACCGGTCGTACGATAGGCGGTAATACAGGTATCACTTCCAAGAAGAATACATCGGTGGGATACTCAATGTCTATTAAGTTTAAACAGGGCATAATTAATTTGAGAAAATCTTTTTCGTTATTCCACAATTGGCGCAAGTATTCCTTAGACTGATCTGGCATCACCATTACTGTCTGCAATTTATGCACTACTGCACTAGCCAACATTTCCTTAGGAGTGATAGTGTTTAATTTAGTTGTCATTATTTTATTTTGCATCACTGAAATCTTCGGTATAACCTCGTGACAATTAATGCATATTTTTCCAGCAGTATGTTGTTTAAGTACATTTTCAACATATATGTGCCATTGCATATTGATGTTCTTTGTATTCATTTGATTCTCATGATTCTGCGGCATATCAGAATCGAATCTATTCATATTATGGAAATTTTGCATGTAATTGTAAATGAAATCACGAATGTATTCTGTTTGTGCCTCTAAAACATTAGGCAATTCAGTTACCACTGATGTTACTTCTTGATCTAAACTATCAATATCACTTAGTTTCCCTTGATAGAGTAGTTTCAATTTGGTGGATAATAGTAATTTAACATATGGTGGTATTTGAAAAGTAAAACACGACAAACATGATAATTTGATTAACATGCACAACCCTTTGTGAAATAATGGATTGACAACTGGCATTGGCAGTTCTATGTGTCCAAAATGACCTGGACAATTGTAGAGATTACCACCACATGTGTGACATGGTTCCGAATTATCCATTAGAGGACCTGGAATAAGTTGAATGTGCACTTTAATAAATTTCATACATAGTAAAATATGAAATAGTTTATTGCCTATTGTATAGCTTATTGTACTATTTAGATATATTTACTTTTATATTTTTTATTTTATTTTTATCTCTTTCAATATTATATTACATATATCAATAATTATACTACTTATTAAATTATTAGTCCTCCAACGATATGTATATATATATATATATATATATATATATATATATATATATATATATATATATATATATATATATATATA